ACGAGGTGACAATTGTCACCTCACCGGTGACAGAGAGTCACGTGACTCGCAGAATAAGGGGGAATAATCCAGGACCAAGAGTCCAAATGTGATCCAATAATTGAACATTAATACTGTTTTCGGTAAATTTTACACGATTGATGGGGGCGACACCGTGTCCAACATAGTGGATAGCAACATCTGTCGGTGTAAAGCTTGGTTTAGACTAGGCAAGTCAAATGATCAACTCAGTTGAATTCAATTGGCTTGAAAAGTTGAGCCTGGTTCAACTTTTTTCAATTCAAGTGAGTTGATCAAGTCAGTTAAATGGCATGGTTTACACGTTCAATTCGCGTTCAAGTCAGTTGAATTCAACTGACTTGATCAATTGACTTGCCCTGTCTAAACCCAGCTTAAGGGTTACGATGACATCGATCACCCAGTTTGGCAATGTACGGATAATGACGCGCGACTTTTGAATACCCCCGAGGCCCAAGGAAGACAACCCTATGTTCCTGTCAGAGACGTGTTGGGAGCTCGTGATCTCTGCTATAAACAGTCGATTTTTGTGTTTCTGCAAATGGCTAGTGTAAGAATTTAATTACTTTGTCTATTGTCTCTCTTGCTTTTGTTTGTCTTGTCCCCCGTAACGATGAGTCTCATCGTCAGTCACTGGTCACCATAGCCAGTCGAACTCCAGACGAATCTAGAACCACACTACCGTTCTTGCTGGCGACAACGCTTTGATGAGACAACGAAACCCCAAATCCAAGCTCTTCCTCTGATCATATCCTTCGACAATGTACCCATCTAACCTCGCGTAAGCCGCGAGTATTTGGCCCACATCCTAATCTGCTGGGAAACTCCAACTAGAACTGCATTATTCTTTCTGATAGTGATGAGCGCTGTCGAAAACTTTGCCAAAAATTGGTGACACTATTTTAAATGTCTCTACGAGCACGAGACGTGGAAAACGCTCGAGGAGGACCTGCAAGTTTTCGACCATCTTTGGCAGAGTCCCGTAAAACGGGGTGAAGTTTATCATTGGGGTGCAGTTGATCACTAAACCATTCAAGTTTAGTTTCTAAACCATTCTTTTTATGCTATTGTTGGATAATTTGTTCAATATTTCATATATTAGTTTTAAATAGTATATTTGAAACGTTTTCCCTAACAAGCTCTTCTACCGCTCTAAGTGTACAATTTTGTGGAAGTGATAAAATATCCTCAAAATGCGAACCTAATCAGCATTTATTCTGATGCTGTGTTCGGCGAAATTACTTATTTTACTAAAATCGCTGAATTCGAATCTGAAACCAGATTTATTTAAAATGAATGATTTAGTCGAGGATTTAGTATTATAAAAATGTGAAAAACTTATATTAGTTGCCTACATTTAGGCGTATTTTAAAATATTTTGCGATAAAATATGCACTTTTTTCGCAAACCATAACATTGATTGTTCGTCAGCAAACACAAATGAAGTTTAAATGCTAATTTATGAATATTGGATTACATTAACACCTCTTATCAGGGAAGTAAAGCCGTTGGTCCCAGGTCCATGAGTTGATGGGTCGACAGGTAGGGTCCTGGTGAAGGAGCTGCCTCTCTAACGTCGGTAGCATTGATACTCAGTACGAAAACAAGATCGACGGAAAACAAATCAAGGAAAAAATGAATGGATTATTAAATACTTACAGGCAGTGTTCTCATTCATTGAGCCTCCCTGAGAGAATAAACACACGCGAATGTGGCTAAGAAAACTCACGCTTGAGATTCTTATGCATGTTTACGCATTCACACTCACAACGCCAAAAAATCATTCCAGCTTATAAATCATCAACACCATTTAACCGTCAATTGATAGCACACTCATGTATGTTGTGTTAGTTTTCCATCCACTGATGCAAAAACAACACTAATAACAATAAATATCGCTAAAATATAAAGCAATTAATTATCGAACGTAATAACTCATCAATCATTTTTAGCAGTATAATTTTGCAAGGCAAACTCATAGGCGAATAAAAACATGCTAATGGGTTTTTGAGTTTTTCCAAACACTGCTTACAGGTAACATTAAAGTTGTATTGCTGTATGTTTCAACTAACGCCAGAAAATACATCAATGTGCCAAATGTAAGTTTCCAAAATTTATACATTCAAATTTAATGTGGGTGGCCCTTAAGGTGATACGATACAGAATCCACAAATGGTCGTCAAGATGGCTGACTTGCACCTTCATTTCAAATTTTCTAGATGTCAACCCAAGTAACATTTCTGGTTTTATGAGAGTTCTGTAGACCATGATTTAGACATGTAGTATCATTTAAAACCTCCATAAAACTTGATATGTTGTTTTTAAAATCTCGGGCACTATTGCGACTTCACTGCAGCAAACATGGGGAAGCAGTTTTATCATTGTATGTTTTCTGGTAGCTGATATTTGTGCTCCAGAAGATATGAAGTAATAATGAGATCCATCAGAAAAACAGATTCGAGACCTTTTAACTTTCGCAAGAAGCTTAAAGTAGCTTCGAGTTTTACCTGTGCACCGACTTTAAAAACCAGATTTAATGCCAAATTCATACTCCAATCGGTTGAAAAATAAACTCTAAGTTATCTATCCATTGCAAGCAATATTTTGTTAATTTTTTATGTTTTGAGAGTTGGGTACATTGAGGTTAAGATGACGCCACTACTTAGAGCAGCTCGTGGTACAATATGATATAAAAGCACAAACGAAGTGACAGACGGAGCGGCTCAAAAACTTTGGTGACGAACCTGCTATAGCAATTTTTCAGTGTACCACATGGCAACACCACTAATACTGGATTGCACTAGCATTTTCACCAAATGTACTAGAATATTTTGATTCTATCTCTTTCACTCTACTCAAAACTGAAATGCATTAACAAAATGACAAAATGATACACTCTTTGCACACTGTCAAAGATTGATTGCACACAAAATCAACTTTGTTCAAATCAAACCAAAAATACTAGCCCATCTGGTGGCTGATGGCACAAGTTTTTAAGAAAATTCTATTACAGAGAACCACATTATTTTAATTGATTTCTTGGCTAGTGAGTCGTCTATCACTTTTTGAATGATCACTGAACAAGGTCCGAAATCAAGGACCTAGCCAAGGAACGCAACGTAGGCGATAAATTATATCAACGGCTTTTTAAATAGTACTAAGACAAAACACCGAACAGTCGTCCTCAGTATAATAAAATAATAATATAACTCAAAAGTAACACGATGGAAACTTAGAGACAACATTTTGACGGTATGTTTTTAAAAAAGTCTTTATTAAAGAGGCTTCCAGCCGTGGGCTGGTTCGTCTTTGCTTGAAGTAATGTTTGATATTTCATCCTTGCGTTCTTAATGTTTAGAAAAAAAAAACTAAAGATACACCGAATACCTAGTTATATTTAATAAAACCTTTAATACATTAGATGACACAAAAACTTCCCTAACACAGACATCAAAACCAATATATGTACATGATTGCAGAATTATCTTTCACCAATATTCTCGTTTTCTTCAAACCGCATTTTTATACAAAAAATGGAAAATACCTACGGTTCGAAATTAACCGAAACAAGGGTGCTTATCAGCTCTAGTACCTACACCGGAAAATGTAAGATCACTGAAATGTTTTGACATTTGGAGTTGCTGTTTCTCGTTGTTGATGCAACTTTCAGAATTTAATTTACTGCGTGACAATATACATTAAAAGAAACACATAAAGTTCCTCAACCAATGGCCTCCTGAGAGTCTAGGAAAGCAGAGTTGTCTAAAAAACAATTAAGTTGACTATACCCCCACCTTACCCTAATAAATTTGTTATGGTTATTTTGCTTAACGACATGTTTGGGGTATCATCCAAACCATTTGTGGAAAAGTTCGACTATTTGGGTTATTGTTCATTTATGGTATTTGTTTATTAGGGCAGTCATACTAGGTGTAATTATTATGCCATCCTTATCGATCAAGAAATTTAATTCAGCTTATTTGTTACAAACTCATTCAACACTGATCACGAAATCTATCTTGAAAATGTTTACCACTTAACCTTCAAGACCTTTTCGGAATGCATGCCTACAACTGATCGAATGTTAATGTAGGTTTCTAAACAATTGATTCATCGGATATTTGAGACTTTGGATTCTTTGTGAGCACCGAATCCCTCCATCTATAATTGCTGCATCTTACCGTAGATGTTGGCTAAATATTCCGCTGTATATTTGATGCACGCAATCAGTTTATCAATAGCATTGTCGGTGCTTTCCATTTGCTCAAAAACAATGATTCATTCAATATACCCGAGTCTGGTCAAAGCAGGATTGACCCAGTTGTACGCTGTGTTCCAAAAACAACTCCCACCATCTCCCTCCTTGCGAACATCCTGCCTACGTTATTGCAGCCAATTGTAATATCACACATATCACACTTTTCTCACTACAGAGTACATTGTGGACTACCCGTGTTTTCCATATGTGTCCATCAGCGAGCGCAGGCAACCCAACCTTCAGTGTTCTCTCGGCTTATCTGTGTATACGTCTCCGATATTGGAGAACTTCTGCTTCCTTCGGCCAGTGTGTGCGTGCAACTCTGCAGCTAATACTGAGCGAGTCGTAGTCGATACACGGTGCCATCTGTCAATGTGTTGGTGCAAACCTTTATCCATAGGTATTTGTATTAATATTTCAATATCTCTATATTATGAATTTTCCATTTTCCCAATTTTCTTCCACATTTTCTGCTCTTTCTTCTATCTGCTCACCAAATGCAATCTTCACACTTAATATTTCCACTGATAACAATGCTAATGCTTTTCGTAATTCGTCACTTTCTGGAGGTCAAAATGCTTTTCTGTCTAGGTGATTGAAAATAACTTCACTCTGCTTTTTCGTCTTCAACCAACCGAGGAGAAGAAAAAAACTACATCCAATATTGACAGGAGCATTACCACCAAAGGAGAACACATAGAAGCAAGAAGAAAAAATTACACACCCTCTCGGTTTATTTTCCACTTTTCACTGCTCACATAAGGCTAAACAATGTCAAATCGAACTAGATTCGAAGCATTCCTCCTAGAGCCGAGCACTACAAGCAAATCCCAACAGGAAAATCTACACGGGAATCGTACCGATGGTGAAAAAAAAATCACTGCTCCCTTGAACCCGATTTTGGAACTACACAACTTTTCCTTGCACACCCGCACACGCAAGGGAGCAGCACTCAGATTATGGATTTCAACAGAGGAGAGTTCTTTTCCGTCTCGGATCCAACCTTCCGAATCGTCCGGAACCTTGCAGATCTGGATGGCAAACACTTTTCCGTACCTTGTACCGTCGAACGCGACCACGGTTCAGCAAATCGCACTATACGAACAAGCGGAAAATTCAATTTTTCTTCCGAGACCAGCTACACAACTTGCGCTTCACGAGACTCAGAGCAAGAGCACAGGAGACAGCAAGAAATTTTTGCAACCAGATGAATGGTATGGTAGTATTATTTTCTCCTGCGTTCGACGTCCGTGTCAGTCTAGTCCAGCCAGCCAGCAGGGTTCTCACTTTCCCTGTCTCGCTCGTTAGTATTCCGGGCTAGGAATACGACGGCGCTATGCTAGCGCTCTCGCTTGTTCACTTGTCACCCGATGCGGGACAGCCAGGTGTCTCGACTGTTTATCAAGAAAATTATCAGAAACGATTCACTACTCAAGCCGGCGGTCGATCGATTATTTTCAAGAGAAATTACACTCTGAAACACTGTCAGACACTGCACAAATGTCAACCCGTGCTTGTGACTTTGGAAAAGTCATCCTGCGATGCACTCACGAATCAAGCAATCAATTATCATCCACAGGTATGATGTAATACCGATGTTGATTATTCAGAATATTTTGGAGCGCTGTACGGTTACATCACAACTATTTTCGATTGACTTATGCTCTTAGTCATATCATTCGGTTGCACGGCTGTGTCCTTGCCTTATCGTGTAATTAGTATGTGTGCAGGTATACAAACCTAGAAAAACAACTCCATCTGGTCGTTCATACTGAAACTAGATGAAGACAGAGCTGAAAACCGGCACAACATAGATTATCCAATTGAATTCATTCGTACATCGTCGAATATATCGTATATATACGAAGCCGAAGGTTTATGAAACAATTTTATACGCATCGACATATTAAAATCAAATTTATTTAGTTTTTGTTTCAAACTACAGTCGACTCCCACTAATCTGAACGTAACTTCATTAATATTAAATAGGTACTTTAACTCATCATGTTTCTATTGTTTCATGCGAAGTTAACGATTTACATAGTTGGAGATGCCTAACGTCAAATATCAGACTTAAAGTGATCATTTTATACGATAGATGAGGAGATAAAAGTATAGAGTTGATAGTTCCGTTAGAGTACGACAGTGTGAAAATATACACGGTTAGAAAAAAGTACCCAAAAGTAAGTTCTTTTCACTCATCTCGGCACTATAGTGCAGGAACCCAAAAGTAGGTAAAGCAGGTCAAAGTAATGTTCATTTACTTGTGTGCAGTTCGTATGGAATTTTCCACTGGCTTTTTAACCAAAAGTAAGTTAGTTGTACCCTACAGTAGGTAAATATGATTATACTCAACGTTGGGTTCCCACACTTTACTACCCCTGTTGGGTGGTTTTGCTCCTCCGTTTTTGACAACATTAGAAGGAGAAAAGGAGACAAACTAGTCAAAAGTAGGTAAAAGTGAACTTTCCGTTGGGTACTTTTTTCTTACCATGTAGAGAGTAGAAAGTGAGCAAAGGTAAATTTTGAGGAAGGTGCGATCATCTCCTTCACCAAACTTCCCTGTTGGGGAGAGACGGTGAGGGGTATCCCCTCGCCACCAATGGCAAAAGAGATAATCGCCGATATACTCACGTACCTTCGATGTGCGGAACCAGTTATATCGATTGTTTCATACTCAAGTCGCCATCTGACATCTAGTCGATGGGTTTGGTTCATTTTTGATTTGAACTTCTACCACAGACAAACAGACATAACACATTGAATATTTCTCATTGTAAAACATCGTCGCTAAAACATTACCGCCATCTGTTGAGTACACTGTGGTGGGTAGTACGCTGAACAGATGGCGGTAGTGTGTAAACGTCATACTCAAGCGAAATGACTATGCGCGCCACAGGTAACTCTAAGACTAGAAGGTCCCGAAATAACGTGCTCAACTTTTTGGCTCAGCTCTGGTACTCTCTTCGGTCCCAAGCTAATCGATTCACCCCTCGAAACATAGGAAAAACCAATAACCCCTCATTTTATCTGTCAAACTTTCATAGCGAATCAAAACAAACATTGTGTAGTACTAGAATTTCGACTAGAATGGGGTACGTTAATCGTTTGCTTGGGATCAATAGGCTACTCAAGTAGTGAGCCAATTTAAAATCGTTAGTTTCTTATTGATTTTTGGTACTACCATAGAGGTAACTCTAAGACTAGTAGGTCCCGAAGAAACGTGCTCAACTTTTTGGCTCAGCTATGATACTATCTTCGGTCCCAAGCTAATCGATTCACCCCTCGAAACATAGGAAAATCCACTAACCCCTCATTTTATCTGTCAAACTTTCATAGCGAATCAAAACAAACATTGTGTAGTACTAGAATTTCGACTAGAATGAGGCAACAATCAATACGAAACTAACGATTTTAAATTGGCTCACCACTTTAGTAGCCTATTGGTCCCAAGCAAACGATTAACGTACCCTATTCTAGTTGAAATTCTATTACTACACTATGTTTGTTTTGATTCGCTATGAAAGTTTGACAGATAACATCAGGGGTGTGTGGATTCATGCAGAACATGCAGGGGTGAGTGAAATAGCTTGGGACTGCTTGGGACCGTTGTTCTGGTACTGAGTGAGCCAAAAATAATAATGATTTTCTTCGGGACCCAGTGGTCTTAGAGTTACCTCTATGAATGAGGTGCGTTAATCGATTTGCTTGGGACCAATAAACTAGTCAAGTAGTGAGCTAATTTAAAATCGTTAGTTTCCACCGGTTGGTATTATTGGCTTGATTATAGACCTTTTTGATGTTTAATAGTCTTTCTCTATCTAGCACACAGGAATGAAGGGATGGTTTGTTTTCCCATGAATCTGTTTCTCTCTTGCTTCTCATTCCTTCAATTTAAATGGTGCATTAGTGTGCGCTGTTTAAACGTCAAATAGCTCTACATAGAGTTAACACTTGCTACAACTATAGTCGCTATATTCATAATCTGGCGGATAGAATTTCGATCTATCAAAAAGCGGAACCAATTCAATATATTGTAGACCAACAATTGAAAAGGTACTATAAACTTGATTATTCTTTCCTCGCCAATCGAACGCAAATTAACAGCATCATCGGATAGGGGAAATTTTCCCCAACCCAAAGATGGTGTTAGTTTGCGTAGGCGAGCCTTGAGTCACGAGAAAAGGTTTTCCGAAGTTTTGTTCGCAATAGCTGATGTGTTTTTTTTATGTTGTTGGTCGTGATTTGCTCGATTGGTTCCGCTATTTGACAGCTCAATTGGTTCCCGAGATTCTATCCGCCAGACTATGAATATAGCGACTATAGCTACAACCGGATGGCACTCCCATCTAAAGCCCTCTAGTTAAAGTATGGACGACTGTCACAACAAAACTGAAAAAAAGCTGTTCCAATCGAGCAAAGCTATGCATTTTGAATGTTCGATTGGAAAAACTTTTGACAGACGTACATACTTTTACCAACCGGTGGAACTAAAGAGCCTGAATTTATAAAGAGACGACATGTCAAAATTGAAACAATCGATTATCTGTCAAAGTCATAGGAAAAGTCATTCCAATCGAGCAGAAGACCTGTCAAATGGATAAGATGTCGCCTCTTTATAAATTCAGGCTCTTTAGGTGGAACTAACGATTTTAAATTGGCTCACACTGGACTACCCTATCGGTCTCAAGTAAATCGATGAACGTACCCCAGTCTAGTTGAAATTCTAGTACTACACTATGTGTTTTTTTCTCCCTTTTTATGCACAGACCTGTTGGTTCATATTAGTATACACTATGTTTGTTTTGATTCGCTATGAACGTTTGACAGATAAAATGAGGGGTTCATGGATTTTTCTATGTTTCGAGGGGTGCCTCGATTAGCTTGGAACCGAAGAGACTACCAGAGCTGAGCCAAAAAGTTGAGCACTTTTCTTCGGGACCTTTTACCGTAGAGGTAACTCTAAGACTACTTAGTAAGTCCCGAAGAAACGTGCTCAACTTTTTGGCTCAGCTCTGGTACTATCTTCGGTCCCAAGCTAATCGATTCTCCCCTCGAAACATAGGAAAATCCACTAACCCCTCATTTTATCTGTCAAACTTTCATAGCGAATCAAAACAAACATTGTGCAGTACTAGAAGTTCGACTAGAATGGGGTAAGTTAATCGTTTGCTTGGGACCAATAGGCTAGTCAAGTAGTGAGCCAATTTAAAATCGTTAGTTTCGTATTGATTGTTGGTAGGGTTAACTAACCCATTTCCGGCCTATTAAGCACAACCCACACTTAGTCTTTCTTAATCTACTGTAGTTTAGCACCAAACGGAATGCTATTATTACTGATGGCTTCCAAATTTATTTACCTTTCCGTATGTACCGTAAGATTTGATAAAGAGAAACCAATCGTTAAGATATTGTCAAAAGTCTAACACTGCTTCTTGACGCCAAACTCGGCCTAACGCATTGAAACGCCATTGGAACGCCAATGAATTCACTTCGGCGTATCGGATGAAGATAAAAATTGATTCGGTCGGAGCGCTTCTTTTGTTTTTTGGGAATAATAGATGCAAACTTTAATACCACGCGTTCTCATTGACTTCAATCGGTAGCTTATTAACTAAAGTATCGTACCAAACGCATAATTGACTTGTTAACTCTGAAATCATGGATTTATTTGAAGTTTTCTGCTCGATAGGCCCAAAATGGGCGATTAGGCCGAAGTAGTTCTCTACCCTACTACTCCTACACCAAACGAAAATCAATTATGTTATTCATGTGTTTCACTTATGCATTTTTGCCAAAACATCAGCCTTATACGTTCCATAAGACAAACCACATAGGTCCGGAACTACAATCTGCCTGGCTATTGCCGCCACAGTAACCGCAGTATTTTGAAATTTGACAGATTTTGTAGAGAATTTGATAGTACACTGAAGTCTTTTTTTACACGATTTTTTTTTACACGGTTTTTTTACACGGTTTTTCACAATTTACACGGTACGTTTTTAACGATTTCTCGACAGCGATATAACCTATCGACTCGATTCAAATCACATTATCCGTTTCAAGCTATAGGTAATCGAATGGCATCCCGAGTAAAGTCCAGCATCAAAATGACAGCTTATTGAAATCAAGTTTTGATATCAACATCAAACTGAAATCCTAATTTGATTTCAGTTTATGAAATTGAGAAAGTTTGTTTTCATTTTGCTGTACATTTGCTCTTTTGCGGGTTTGTTTTCATTGCCTTAGCATAACATCAAATTGAATACTTGTTTTGTTATCAACAGGAAAAATTGATATCAAATTGAGTTTTCAGTTTGCTCTCACTGATAGCAGAAATAGTTTTCAATGTGATGTCACAGGAAGATTTTTTGCTCTCAATTTTGATATTTTAACCGTTAAAACGACCAAAACGACAGCAACCTGAGCAATCATTATCAGCGAAATCACAACATCAAATTTAGATTTCAATTTGATCTCAGACTTTGCTCGGGTAGTGATGATTCTCTTAGGCTCTGAACCATTTGGTGGATTATTTTAACTTTTGGTTAAAATTTGACAGATGAAAAGTTATCGATTAACCCTGCTATCCGAGCATGGTTATTTCTGACAGACAAGAAGTTAAATTTTGACAACCGTGGCTCGAAAACCGGTCGATCGACAGCACGGGGATTTTCGAACATAGAAAATAACTTTCGAAATGTCACTTTTAACCACGAGTTAAATTTAACTCGGCAAATGGTTCACAGCCTTAGACTGTGAACCATTTGCTGAGTTAAATTTAACTCGTGGTTAAAAGTGACATTTCGAAAGTTACTTTCTATGTTCGAAAATCCCCGTGCTGTCGATCGACCGGTTTTCGAGCCAAGGTTGTCAAAATTTAACTTCTTGTCTGTCAGAAATAACCACGCTCGGATAGCAGGGTTAATCAATAACTTTCCTTCAGTCAAATTTTAACCAAAAGTTAAAAAAAAAACCACCAAATGGTTCAGAGCCTTAAGGTGGACAAACTGTCCCCTACATATATTATTAGATTATAGATTAGATTAGGAGAAGATATGTCTAGGTACCAGTACTAAAAATAAATACTTAAGCTGTGTTCCATTTGGTGAATTTTCACTTTAATTTGACAGATGGAAAATTTTCTAATAAACCAGTTATTGTACAAGACTTATTTCCGACCGACCGGGAATCAATTTTGACAAACACCTTCTCGAAAATAGGGAGATCAACAACAGAGGGATTTTCGAACATCATAATTTATTTTCGAAGTGTCAAATTTAAGTGAAAATTCACCAAATGGAACACAGCCTTACAATCAAATCTTACTGATGGCTTTCGAATATGTTTTAGATAGCAAGAACGCAACCACAAACCTATATCAGTACTTCAACAATGTTGTCTGTGAATGTTTCAAATTTTATTAATCGTAGCTTTTTCGCTAACATCGAATTGTGTAAGCTTTAAGTATGAAAAAGCTTTGTCATCGTAAGATATGGAGTTTATCTGTAATGTATGTTAAATGTGCACAAGTATTAACTTGAAAAGAATAAGTCTATAATAATCTTGACATACAACTAATCTAGTCCTTCTCAAAATCCAGTCTGACATCGTTGACTAGTATTTCATGATTTTATCATCTCGCATTCCTCGCTTTAAGTTGCGAAGTTTAAGATAAATGTCGTATAGCATAACACGTACATAACTAAGCAATAATGGAACACACAGATACGTAACTGGACCGCCCAACTTACTCCACGACTTTTGCCTGCTTCTGTTGTTCTTCACCGAACAGTTTCTCGCCCAAGTCTTTCTTGTTGATCTTACCCATTGCGTTCCGTGGAACTTCGGAGATTAGTTTTACTTCTTTGGGAATTGCTTGCTTCGGTAGCTTCTGTTCGAGCCACACTAGCAACCGAGGAATGCTAAACGTTTCGGGATCTTTGACACTGAGCACGGCAACCACCTTCGAGCCCCAGGTTTCGTCCGGCAATCCAATCACAGCAACATCCGTAATGTCTGGATGTTCATGGAGGGCAGTTTCAATTTCTAAAGCGGACAGTTTAAAGCCACCTGATTTGATAATATCGACAGAGGTTCTTCCGAGAATCTTGATACTTCCATCGCTGTATTCAGCCGTATCACCGGTTCTGAACCATCCATTTTCAAATTCTGATTTGGTTTCCTCGGGCTTTTGCCAGTATTCTTGGAAGACAGACCGGCCTTTGATGTAAACATTTCCGGTAATTTTTTCAGCCCCGGCGGAGCCCACAACGTTGGCATCTGGAGCAGGATTCCAATATCCTTCGTTTGGTTTTCCTTCAAGAGTCAGTTCCTTGTTATTCTCTTTGTCTACAATTTTCACGCTAACTCCGGGCATAGGCATTCCAACGCAGCCTTGTTTGCGCACCCGAGTTTTATCTTGAATGCAAGGATTTGAGATGGCCATACCAATTTCTGTCATTCCGTATCGTTCCAGCAAATTATGACCGCTGATTTCGAACCATCTTTTGAAGATCGTACCGGGCAATGGAGCCGATCCGGAAATCATCAATTTGATCTTGTTTTTGCAATGTGTCTTCACGTAGTCACTCATTCGTGCATTATTTCCGAATACATTGTCGTATTCCTTGATCAGCAGCCCGTACATAGTAGGAACTCCCATGAAAATGTTTACTCTTTCCTTACTGGTCATGTTGACGTTCAACAGATAACTCCAAACACTGCTGCTATCGAATTTGGGCAACATGACACACTTGGCCCCCAGGGTCAGCGGCAGATTCAACGCGTTGATTGTTCCATGAACGTGATTGAGCGGAAGAGCATGAAGAACTGAGTCGTTCCCTTTGACCTGCCAAGCATGGGACAGTGCACTAAACTGAGCATCCAAATTAGCAAAGCTTAACACAACACCCTTCGGTTTACCGGTAGTTCCGGAGGTGTACAAGATTAAGGCGTTGGCATCGCGATAAAACTCTCCATTTAGGCACCCCTCTACCACCAGGCTCTCGTTCAGTTGTAGCAAATTTTCACGTTTTGGATCAAGATAGGAGCATGCTTCCTCTTCCTGCGGCTGCTTGTTTTCGGTCTTCAGTAGATCGTGATGTACGAGAAGTAGTTTTTTGTCCAACTTCGTAGCCAGAGGTTGGGCGATGTTTTGGAACTCTGGTGTCGCAATTAGCAGTGATGCATCGGAATCCTTAATGTAGTATTCTAGCAGGTCTTGGGGATATTTTGGATTCAAGGGGACAGCTATGGAAATGAGAAATAAAAATATGCTTGAGAAAATTTTCATTGGGTAATTTGTAAAAAACAAAATCATATACCAATTTGTCCGGAGAACCAGCATGCCCATTGACTGATGATGTAGGTTGCGTTGTTGGGACAGATAAATGCCACTCGAGACTGCGAGGCACTTCCTGTGAATTAAGAGAATGAAATATAGATTTAGTGAAAAATAGGAAAACAGTCACACTTGGTACACTTGTTTATAGTTTATATATTTATACATTTAGTATTTAGATGATTATTCCCAGAACTTTTTTCTCCAAATTTAATACTTTATAAAATATTTTCAAATATCTATCTTTTTTTCTCTGTAAAACATTGTAGTCATTAAATACAAAATCTTCAAGATTAAGAACTTTTTTTCTGATCTCCAAAAGGTTTACTTGTTTGGGTTTTAAGAAAATTTCTGTACATCCGAGTTCCATTTTTTAGCCTGGTTGACAAAGGCGAAGTCACAAACAAAAATAAGCTGTTTGAAGCCCTCGAGCATGCCTGGCAGAATATTGACGAAAATCATTTAAAGAACCTGGTTGAAAGTATACCACAGCGTTTGCAAGCAGTCATCAAGGTTAAGGGAGGGCACACGAAATACTAAATTCTATGTTCATGGTTTTGAAGAATCGAACAATAAATGACGATTTTATTAATAATTAAAAGCATATTAATAATATCAGTATTTTTATTTCATAAGTCGAAAGAAGATTCAAAGCCCTACTGTATTTTGTTCAAATACATAAAAATTCTACAGCTGCATATTACGAAGTTATAGCAATCAAACGAAAAATACGATATGAGCACTTTATTTCTGCCAGTACCCTGTAGTTTTACTTATGTTTCACAACAAATCTGCTTGATATTCAACGCTGCGTGAATCCACGTGAACGAAGTTAAAGGGTGTCCACGATGAAATTGCCACACACAAAATTGATTCGCAAAATTCGAGTTTTCATCCGATTGCCATCAAATTTTCAGGGATTGAGAAATAACTATTAAACTTCATTTTACCATTTTACTCGTATTTTATTTACAGTCCATACGCAAATGCCCGCACCTTGGCCTTAACCCCGGCCATAAGATTCTGCACAACCTGTGAATCAACCGTTTTTTGCATGTAAACCCATACTTTCTTCAGTTCCTCGACTGTCTTCACTACCTTAGGTCATTTAAGAAGGTGCTGCTTCATAATCGCCCAGTACTTCTCGATGGGGCGGAGCTCCGGAGTGTTGGGAGGGTTGAACATTTTCGGCACGAAATTGACCTTATTGTCCGCATACCACTTCAGCACGTCCTTGGAGTAGTGGCATGAGGCCAAATCCGGCCAGAAGATTGTTGGGACGTTGTGGGCCTTCAGGAGAGGAAGCAGCCGCTTCTGGAGGCACTCTTTTATGTACACCTGTCCGTTCATCGTGTCCTGGGTCACGAAAGGTGCACTCCGCTTCCCGCACGTGCAGATGGCTTGCCAAACCAGGAATTTCTTCGCAAATTTGGACATCTTCTGAGTGCGGACATGCTCCGGAACGCTGAACTTATCCTTGGCCGTGAAAAACAGGTTGCCGGGGATCTGTTTGAAGTCGGCCTTCACATATGTTTCGTCGTCCATGATGCAGCATTCAACTTTCGTCAGCATGTTGAGGTACAACTTCCTGGCACGGGTTTTGGCGGACTTGTTCTGCTTCTCGTCGCGATTAGGGGCCTTTTGTACCTTGAACGTTCGAAGCCCAGCCTTAGTTTTGGCCTTCTGGACAAAACTTCGGCTTAGGTGCAGCTTCTTAGCCACATCCCTAACGGAGGCGTTCGGATTTCGGTTGAAGGCCCCAACTACGCGGTTGTGATTTTTGGTGTTGTACGGAATACTTTTTCCTTCACTTCTGGGCTTCCGATCGGTGGTCAACCGTTCCTCGAACCGCTTAATCACTCGCGACACCGTGGAATTCGCGATTCCCAACGTTTTAGCGATGGAACGATGCGAGAGATCCTTGTTCTCGTGATGAATGCGCAAGATTTTATCACGCACGAGCTGTTCTTTCGACTCCATTTCCGCGAGTTTTGATCACAGGACTTTAAAACTTGCACTATGAACTAAATCCACCCAAATTTTCATTAAATTCTACCCAACGGTTAAAAAGTTAGAGCAATTTCATAGTGTGGCAATTTCATCGTGGACACCCTTTAGGCGCTCGATCTCGATCATCGATCTCGAAATCTCGATCATCGTGAATGCTGCAGTGGAGCATTGCACGCCAACGATTTTCAAATTTTACCTCTCAGAATTTTATGAAACTTCGAATACGATTGTAATTGTTCGGTATGGACAAATTACCTAGGTTTGTGCCGGAATTCGGCTATTTTATCTCGCATTGTGCAATCTGTTCCAGATGATTTGGAGCGGTCACATCAGTTTGTATGATTGTTCTTTGAAGACCATCAATAACATAAGCAGTAAGCACGCAGTGAATGCTTCGCTTCTAAATCCTTAAAAACTGAGCAACCTACCGGAAAATTGCCCTAGCTTTGGCAAGCGTATTTGCCTTTATTTTTTTTAAATAAAATGAGAAGGAGAAGATGAACTTTGTGTATTAGAAAATGGTTACTCAGGAGGAACACCGGCAGGGATCTGGCTCATCTTGTCCTTCAAGAACTGCGATATTAAGAAAACTTCGCCAGGATATCGATACCAACTGTCGACAAGGTAGTGGGAAAAGTTCTCTATAGATCTACATGATTCCTTGAGTTCTGAAAATTTCTGTAAAGATCTCAATTCTGCATATTTCTCTGAAGGCCATCGGACGTCCCTGTTCGATGGTAAAATATCTTTGAAGATCAACAAACTTTCTTGAAGATCTCGGTAGTGCTACGGATTTCTTAGAAATCCTGTGTGTTCTCTGTAGAAGATCTGCAAATTTCTCTAAAAATTTACAAAGTTCCTGAATCCATGCCGATTTAAGATCCTTAAATCTTCACTTGATGTCTAATAATCTACGAACTTTTCGAAAATTTTATAATTTTCTCTGTAGATTATCATGATTCAATTAATATCTGCAAATATCTCTGAACATCTACGCAATTCCCTTAAGTATAAAAAAATATCTAGAAATTTTTGAGCTTCCCGGAAATTTAAGGAAGTTTTCTGAAGATCTACTATTTTATTTCTGAAATTGTGCAAATATCTATAAAGGTCAGCGAACTTCCCAGAAGTTCTGTAAATTTCACTTAAAATCCAAGAACCTCAATAAAATTCTGCAGATTTTTCAGCAGATCTTCTCTAAAGTTCTCTACATTTCTTTGTGGATTCTTGGACTTCCATAAAGTTCTGCAGATTTATTTCAAATACTTTAAAATTCCATAAAGCTCTAAAAATTATCTGAAAATATTTGAATTTCTCTGAAGTTGTGAAAATACTTCTAAAGATCGGTGAACTTTCCAGAAGTTCTGTGAGTTTTGCTGAAGTTTTGCATTTTTTTTCTAAAAATGTACGAAGTTCAACAGACTTCTCTTAAGGTATACGGACTTTTCTAAAGTTCTTCAGATCTATCTATTTCCAACTTCCATAAAGTTCTGCAAAATCTTGGACTTTCATACTTCGCTGAGATTGGTTTTTGGAATTGAAGTACTTTTCTGAAACACTGAATTACTTAATGTCTCTGAAGATCTGTAAAATTCCTTGCAGTTCTACAGATTTCTCTAAATATCTACTCTCCTGAAGTTCTGCAAATACCTTTAAAGTTTTGTAAAGTTGTCTCATGCTCCGTAGTTTTATTCTCAAGATCTACGAATTACCTTGAGGCTCAATACATTTCTCAGTAGATCTGCAAACTTGTCTGAAGTTTTGTAAATTCCTCTGTAGGCTCTCGGGCTACCCTGAACATCTGAAAATGTCCCTGCAGATCTTCTAAATTACCTAAAGTTCTCAAAATTTATCTGAAAATACTTGAGCTTCCTTGATGTTTTAAATGTTTCTTTCAAGATCTACAAATTTCCCTGACATCGTATAAATATTTCTTTAAACTGAAGATACATTAAAATTTCTGACATTCTAAAAATGCACCACAAAAGCTGCACTCTTTCTTGAAGGTCTAAAAAATTATTTGAAGATCTAGGACCATGAGATTTTTTCAAAGTTCTGTAGCTTCGGAAAATCTACGAACTTTTCTGATGTTCAATAATTTATAATTAACAACACTGTAGATTCTTGAACTTTTCTGAAGATCTGCGAAGTTCCCTGAATATTTACCAAAAAAATTTTTATAGTTTTTCAAATTGATTTGAAAATATTTAATCTTGCTTGAAGCTTTGGAAATTTCTTGAACATTTTTCTGAAGATCTTGTGAATTTTTCTGAATTTCTGCAAATTTCTTTTAATTTCTGTAAAATTTTCTGAAGTTTTGTAGTTCTTTTAACAAGATCTACGAACTACTCTGAAGCTCAACAAATTTCTCTGAATCTCTAAAACATTCTCAGTAGGCTCTCAGACTTGCTGTCTGGCATGCTTATTCTTATATAATACATACTTCGTAATATATAAAAACTGTTTTGTTGACGACCAAACACACTGGAAAATAAAAATCAGTCAGTATACACATTGAATAGTGAAATCGGGTTACATTGCTGCTGGATGTCATCAAAACACAAATCAAATCCTTGAAGTTTTAGAAAAAATCAATATATTCATTTCACTTGCGGCTATTTTGCTGAATGAGTCGAATGAAAATTAACTACAAATCTATTACGTTCGACAAATCAAACGTCAAATCTAATCATCATGTCGAAAAAGTGTGAACGAATTCGAACATTGCATCCGACAAAATTATCGAGCAGTCCGCTCGAATCAGACCAACAAATCAGATAGTCTAAACGCACCTTAAGAGGAAGGAAATGGCTTTTTCTGTCTGTGACGTGTTCTTCTTTAGCGGAAACGACCGTGCAAAAACTATTTCATTATAGACCTTTTTGACGTTTAATAGTCTTTCTCTATCCAGCACACACGAATGAATGAACGGTTTGTTTTCCCACTAATCTGTTTCCCTCTTGCTCGCACTCGTTCGATTTAAATGGTGCGGTAGTGTGCGCCGATTAAACGAAAAAAAGCTCTATGGGCGACGCAGTCGACTGTCAAAATACAAGAAAATAGATT